TAAAAACATGAAATATGCTTATCACCATGATCTTTATACTCCCTGAAAACGTAGGGAGAAAATAACCTGTCTTTAAGCCTGTCTTTATTTTCATAAAGGGTGGAGGCCAACCTTGCTAATGACATCATTGGAAAGGCCTATTGAAGTCCATTGTTTCATATCCCTCAAATATAGACTGCGTGACATCATCAGATAAAATCCTGGGGAAAGCATATTACGGGAAAAAACCACAGGGCTTTGATTGTAAGCACATTTAGGAAATAAAATATTTTAAAATTAATTAAATAATGAATACCATAATAATATAAATAATAATATGGGGGGGAGAAGGATTTATTTGAACCCAATGCACTTAAAATTATCAGCATTAGAAATGCTGATTTTATTTCAGTGGAAAGTACAGTACTAAAAGGAAAAACAAAATGTATCATTTTACCCTCTTCTGTAGTCCAGTAACTATTTTAAATATTTCTACCCTACTTTGTAACTATTAACATTGTTCTGAGGATATTGAATGTATTCATAACGTATGTTGAATGAGTTTGAGCCAGTTTCAGGAGTTTTTGAAGGGTCCCTTTTTTCGGTTCACTTTGTCATGGTGAAAAGGGATGTGATTGCTGCTGGTTTGGATTTCACTACTAGAAAATCCCACGGGAGCAAGCACATAACATGAATTATTCAGATTTTTATTTTTAGGGACAAGAGACTTATTTCATAGTATGATGTGGGCTGCAGGATGGTCACATTATATTATTAGTCAGGAAGCTTGCAATGATGATTTCAAGCCACTTACATTTTCCATTGTGAAATAGCACCACTGCTTGCTTGGTCCAATAAAAACCTTATTCCTGAAAGCTATTTTTTTGCAGTACATTGCTTTGAATAGCAATATTTTTGACCTTCAGGTTCACCCAACTTTCCCAGAAGTATTGATGACCCCTTCTTTGCCCTTTATAAGTATTTCTTCAAGCCATAAGAGTATGCACGGTCCCTTCCTCTTGGACAATTACCCCCAAATTCTTTAATGATTTCATTTTGCTAGTCTCTGCTATGTGTTATTATTATAATTTTTTGCTTTGTTTTCAGTTTGATGATTTTGAAGGTTAACAGTTAATCTGCTGTAGTTTTAAAACTTAGGACAGCATGGACAAGTCATCATCTGGAGATTAGGTTACTTACTTTTAAAAAATGTTTATCTTATACAGACAATTTTTAAAACTTTAAAAAACTAATACATTACTTTATTTAAAGTATATATTAAATAAATAAATCCATTATTTTATGGCCTGGAAGAAGCTGAGGACATACAAAACCTATAGCCTGTATAACATAGTCTGGATTTTTCTAGGCTCTTTTCATACCAGACTGAACCACGTTGTACTAGTATTAGGGCTGTGTGTTGCATCTCTGTTCCTTCATTAGGTTTGTGTGAATTGATATATCCGAGTCCTCAGAGGCTGCATCCAGACAAGTGTGGACGCACAGTATGTGGCTGCACAGACCCATCTGCAGAGCCACACACCACATATGCAGGCATTCTCCACACTGCTACCTCGCAGAATGGGTTTGCTTTTTTTTTACTTTGGGAGATCCTGGGGTCAAAAAAACCCCCACCAAAAAAAAAAAAAAAAGTAGGGTGGCACACGTGACGGCAACACAAGCTGCCCAAAACTGGAGTTTGGCTTGCTGGAGACATGATCCAGCTGCCAGCCAGGATCCCAGCTGCAGAAGCACCATGGCTGCAGCTCCTGGAGCCCCCCAGGATCCCAGGCGAGGCTGCTGGGGCCAGCACAGTTGCCGGCCACAGCTTCCCCTACCCTACCCAGGGTAACCTGCTGCCAGCAAAAAGCATGCATGGCACAGGTGTTTCCTGGGGGCAAGTAGCAGCCATGTGCAGGCAGGAGACAAGTAGCAGTAACCAGGTACGCTGCTGCTACTTGTCCCTGGGGAAGCAAACATCTGCGCTCATGTGGACATGGCCTGAGAGGGCATTGCAATCTCGATCCAGGAGGGCTGCTGAACGAGGGCTTCCGAGCTTGTGTCTGGGAACATTGCACCCAGTGTATATACAGAAACCAACAGCTTTAGCAAGGTGCAGTGTCGGGTACATTTGCCGCAATGTTCTGTGAAGCAGCGAAAGGAGTTTCCCATACCTGCCATTCTCCCTTTTTTAATCTGAAGAAAAGCTGAATTTGTTTTAGTGCCTTTTGTGTTGCTGGAAATCTCTGGTGACAGGCACAAGTGCTAAAGCCCTCCTCACTCAGCAGCAGGCACCTCTCCTGGATGGAGATCGCAGTGCGCTCTCTGAGGACTTGGGCAGAGCACAAACTCACAGCAGCCTAACAAAGGAGCTGAGATGCCACACACAGCCCTGATACAAGTGCAGCGTGGTTCAGTCTGGTATGAAAAGAGCCTGGAAAAATCCAAACTATGTTACATGGGCTATAGGTTTTGCATGTCCTCAGCTTCTTCCAGGCCACAAAATAAAGCAACGTGTATTTATTTATTTATTTAATATATACATTAATACTTTAAATAAAGTAATATGTATTAGTTTTTAAAAGGTTTTGTCTGCGTAAGATAAACAGCCTCATTCTGTCTGGTCTACAGCAGGAGCATGGAAACATCAGGGCTATATTCCCTAGGCTATCTAGCTTTTGTATGTCCTTGGCTTATTCCAGACCATAAAATAAAGTAATATGTAGTTATCTATTTAATATAGACGTTAAATAAAGTAACATGTATGTTTTTAAAAGTTTTAAAAATTGTATAAGATAAACAGCCTTGTTCAGGCTGGTATAGCAGGAGCACGGAAAAACCAGGGCTACGTTCCCCAGGGTTAAATAGGTTTTGCATGTCCTCGGCTTATCCCAGGACAGAAAATAAAGAAACATGTGTTTGTTTATTGAATATATACTTTAAATAAAGTAAGATGTATTCCTTTGACTGGTCAGGGCTGAGGGCTGTGGGTTTTGTAGGGCCTCAGCTGCTTCCAGGAGAGCTCCTGGCTGAAGGCGAGCAGGCTGCTGCGGCTCTTGCCACCTAGTGGCTGGCCAGGGCGACAGCCGGAGCAGGTCCCGGGAAGGGCTGGGGGGAGCCGGGGGCGTTCACAGCGCGGGGCCCATCCCGGCGGCGGGGTGCAGGCAGCCTGGGGGGCTCCTACAGGGGGGGTACCGGGCAGCCCTGCGCGGGCTCTCCCCTTCCAGCTGTGCCCAGGTCTTTCCCGCCAGCTGCCGCCTCCCTGGCCCAGATGTGCGCGCTCCAGAAAACAGTAGCACGGGGCAAACCGCAGGGTTTGTTTTTTTCTGTCGGTTGGTTGCTAAAGTGGTGGAAGTGACGCCCCTGCTCCATGCAGTCAGGGCACGCCGGGCTGCCGGCGGGGGGGTGGTTCTTTGCAGCCCGCCCACACAAGACCCGGCTCCTGTCTGAGGCTGAGCGGGGCCCTTGTCCCGGTCGTGGCACCAGCGCCCGGCGCCCCCGGCCACAGCGGGCAAGCGGGCGGCGGCACCGCGGGACCCGCGCCCCGCACAGACACACCCATACCCCACAGACACACGAACCCACAGACACCCACACACTACACCCCCCCCACGACACAGACATATTCACCCACACCCCCACTCACACAGACACACCCACACACCCCAACATCCACACAAATCAGAGACAGACACCCACATAGTGCCACGCCCACACACAGACACCCACGAGGCAGACACCCCCGCCCACACATACCCACCCATACATACACACACTATACATAAACCCACACGGACACACCCACACACTGCACACGCCGACACCCACACATCAGACACACCCACCCCCTACACACACCGATACCCACCCAGACGCACCCACACACTGCACACACACCAGTGACACAGACACCCCCCCACGTCACACGTAAACCCACACAGAGACACCCCTACACACCACACTAAACACCCACCAACACACTACAAAACCCCCTCTGCACCCCCGCCCCGCCCCCTAGCAGCGCCCCGGAGCGCGCGGTCTGGGAGCAGGAGGCGGGCTCCCCCG